TTGTTTAGAAGCCTAAACAATGAATAACAATTTGACATCTGAGAAGGAATAGTTTCAAAATTAGATCTGGAGATATTTAATTAGGTTGCCTTAAAAATACCAGAATTTGAAGCAGAACTGAATTGAGGATGCAATGAGCCAACCTATCCTACCATTCCTTTTTCTACATAGTTCTGCCAAAGTATACTCTTATCAGTAGATGACAGCATCACAAGGTAGAGAGGAGGTAATTCAATCACTTGTTGAGATTCTAATAAATAAAGAACTTAAAATAAAGAACTTAAACCTAAACTTTTAACTTCTACAACTTCCACAGAGTATTTATTATGTATTAATTAAATTATTTAATTAAAACATTTTATATTTTCTGAGCCTGATTTCAGGCTTTACTGCAGTAAAAGCGTAGTCCTGTGTTTTAAAACCTAGCATATCATCCTTGTTTATGATTTCTTAATAGATACAGTACATTGTGTTGGTGATGGATGGGTGCACCTAGGCTTGAGGATTTCAGTCTTAAAGGAGCTGGGTTTAGACATATCATGGATTTAAATTCTGTATTAGGATGTTGGCTTAGTACACAGTGTAAGTCTTCCTCACTTATTCCATATATTCTTATCCTCCTGGATGGAACAATATGTGTTTATGTGGTCTACATTTAATGAAAAAAATAAGGCTTGAATTAATCCCATAGTAATGCCTCTTCCTGGGTTGGGCGACTCTTCATACAGTACGCATGCCCTAGTCCAGTGATGGCTAACCTTTTCTGGACCGAGTGCCCAAAGCATGCCCAAACCCCCTAAATGCAATGCATGCACTGTCCCCATGCATGCCCCTGCCCCCCCACATGAGTGTGGGCTCCCTGCATGCACACGGGACCCTCGTGTGCATGCCCCACACATGCCCCCTGCCCCATGCATGTGCACACAGCCCCCCACATATGCCCCACCCTGTGCATGTATTCACACCCCCACATGTGCCCTACCCCCCCACATGCGCACATGGCTCCCTACACACACCCCATCCCATGTGCGTCATGAAACCCAAAGACCAACTGGCTGTTGGAGATGCATGCGCAGCGGATCTGAACTGGGGTGATGGCTTGCGTGCCCACAGAGAGGGTGCTGTGTGCCACTTCTGGTATGTGTGCCATAGGTACGACATCACAGCCCTAGTCATTGATGACTCAACTATTGCAAAGCACTTTATATTGGGTTGCCCATGAAAACCACTTAAAAGTTTCAACTGGCCCAGAATGCATTGGTGCAAGCAGTGATAGGCATGCCTCAGTATGTCCATGTGACACCACTGTTTAACAAGCTACACCAGCTGCCTGCATTTTTCTTGAGAAATTCAAGATCAATACCTATAAAGCCCTATATGACATGGGACCAGATTATTTGAGGGGCCACCTATCTTCCATGTTTTCTACCCATCTAATAGTAGCTGCCAGATTTGGCATGCTCCAGAGCAGGGGTGAAATGCTACTGGTTTTGACCGGTTCGGGTGAACCGGTAGCAGAGATTGGGGCTGGTTCGCCGAACTGGTAGAAAACTTCTGGCTGGCCACGACACTGAACCAGTCCATGGCCCGCAGTCCTGCCATGCTTCCCTGCCTTCTATGCAGCCTTCCTGGCATCCCCGTGGCCAGCTTGCAAAGGCAGGCAAGTGGTGAAGGCCACATGGAATGCAGACAAGCATGGCCGGGCTTCAAGGAAGGGAGTTAGCAGCCTACTCCCTTCCCTGCAGCCCTGCCATGCTTGCCTGCCTTCCACGCTGCCTTCCCAGTGGTCCCCCACACCCACATCCGCCTTCTGAGGTCGGCGTCCAGCCCGGCCCAGCCAGTGGGTGGGCAGGCAGCCCCTGGTGGAAATGCAGATGCTGAGATGGGGCTGAGAGTGGCGGTGACGGTGCTCCAGGAGGTCACATGTGCATGTGCTGTGGCACCAGCATTCGCTTTCTTCCTTCTTCCTTCAGCTGAGGAGGAGAAAAACCATGAGGTTTTGCTCCAGGCGGCTGGTCCTGCAGTGGCGGCTTGAATGGCCCGACTAAAGTTGTGTTCGCCGGTGAATGCTGGCACAGAGGCCTAGGCTGCAGGGCTGCTCCAACCAGCCAGCCCAAGCCGAAGCTGGGCTGGCTGCTCTGTTCCCACCAGCGGCTGGGTGATGCTGCGCACGAGGCATTGAGCGGCTGTCAGCTGCGTGACTCTTTGCCAGTGGCCAGCCTGGAGAGGAAGCACACGGCCTCGGCTTTGCGCTCAGGGAAGCGAGGGGGAATGGCATGACAGGGGTTTCCCTGCTCAGCCCCGACAAGTGATGCAACTATGGTGCCTGTACCAGTGTCCTCAGAGAAGCAGAGAAGATCGCTGCTTGCAAGCAGACAAACAGAGGTAGTAAGCGTACGCTGCGCTGTGGGAAAAATGAGAGGCCCTGTTCTCCCGCAGAGCCTGCGGCTGCTTGAATGGGGTGGGGGCAAGGAGAACGGCGAGACTCAGGAAATAGGTCAGGTGAAGCTCGCTGACTCAGGGCTGCTCAGAAGCCGCCCCTGCCGCTGTCAAATATTTGGGTGCCTTGGCTTCAGATCCCTCCCTCCCTCTCTCTCTCTCTCTCTCACACACACACACACAAAAACAGAGGTTGGAGAGCTCTCTTGCTCTCTCTCTCTCTCCAAGTGCCCCATGCATAGCCCAGTTGAGAAAAGGGCATGCATGGCTGGGCACGCTTGGCTGCAGGAGGAGGCCTAGGTGGAAGGCGGCCTTTTCTGCAGCATCCCCCTTCCCTCTTTCGATCACCATGCAAGGGGGGGCTCTGCCTTTGCAGAAATGGGGCAGGCGGTTTGTATGGAGGTTTGGTGGGTGGGATGTGCGGCCCTCTGGGATGGTGAGCAGGACAAGAGAAGGCTCCAAGGTTCACTTGGGCAGTCAAGCTAGAGGGAAACTCAAAGCATTGGGGGCTTCAGAAGGGCAGAAAGGGCAGGTCCTGGTCTAACAGTGAGTGACGTGAGTGATGTCAAGTTGGCCACGCCCACCTGGTCACATGACCACCAAGCCACACCCACAGAACTGGTAGCAAAAAAAAATAGATTTCACCACTGCTCCAGAGCCTCTTAATTAAACAATGGGAAGTGTGCTTTATTTGTTGCAATATCTGCCTTCTGGAATGAGATCCCATCTGAATTCTGTGTGATTGTCACCCTGTTGGCATTCTGTAAGGCCTCAAAGATCTGGTTGTGTCCCAGGTGTTAAGATGAATGGAGTTCCTTGCTAGAAATCTTTGGTCTGTGTTTTTGTATAAGAGTGACCAAATCCCATCTTGTTTTGCTTTGCATTGTGGTTTTATGGTTTATTATATTGCGAACTGCCCAGAGTCATTTTGAAATTAAGCAAACACCTAAACTGAAACATACAAACAAGCAAACAAACAAACAAGCATTACAGGAACTGATTATTTTGATCAGTAAACAGTGTTAGTGAGGAAAAGTTTAATCCTTTTTACCAATGTTGCATTCATGGCCTCCCGCTATTGTTGCAGTTACTAAAGCCTTTACATCAAAGAAAAGTACAATAAAAATACATATATGTATAATTAATAAAACTAAAGGGTGGACCAAAAAAAAAAAAACCATACACAATATAAATGAATAAAGTAAGATATCTGTTTTTTAATACATCTAGTTTAGCCCAATAGAAAATAAAGGTGTATCCTTAGATATAGTGCATCTAAGATATTGTTGATAGACCTCAAGCTGATGATTTGATCATTTTAAATATAAATTTAATGCTTTTTACCCTGTGTACTTGGTTAATATATGAATATACTTACATACAGCATTTATCTATATTAAAATGGCTCCATATTTGAATTTTGCTAGCATTTTTTTTTTAAAAAGTGCCATTTATCTTCTTATTTCTTGTCTCCCCTTTTTTCAGTATTAACAGACTAAACTAGCATGCTCTCATCTCTTGGTACTGCTTTCCATTAGAAGACATTGCAGTCTATGTACCAGCACAAAAATTTGTCTCTAATTTTGCTTTCACCCATTTTATGTTAGTCTGATAACTATTTCATAAGCTTGTGAGTTTAGTATGCTGAATGCAATCCAGTGTGGATGCAATCCAATGAAAGACACAATATTTGGATACTGCTTATCATGTTGCCTTTCAGTTTATATAAACTGTGAGCGTAGTAGAAATCTATATTGTGTAATATAGCTGCAATTAACATCCATGATTACTGAAGAATATTGCACAGTTGAAAACCATTTATTCTTTGTGAAGTGGCAAATATTGTTGTAACAGTCACACCAAAGCATCTAAGATTGACCGTATTGAATATCTAATTGTAGTTCAAGAAATAATTTGCTAGACTTGATACAAAAATTATAGCAAAGCAGTTCTATATTTATTGATGAGTGGGCAGCTTGGACTACTTACTTATTGTATGTACTGCTCTTTTTTTATATCTCCATACATTAACATAGTCGACATTTTTAAACAAACAGTTCAAATATGATTTGGCATAGAAATATTCTAGTTCAAAACCGGGGTAAATGTATAACTGAGTCAGAATACCTGCAGTACTTTAATGTGGATATCAAAGAATTTGTATATTTCTTTGATATCCACATTACATTTTTACATTTTCTCTAGAGATTTAAATTGTCAAGCTGTATATAACAGAAACACAGGGACATTATTGTCATCAAAATATGACATAAATATGCGATTATCATTATTCTTCAAGACAGCATTCTAATTCAGACAGTCATTGTAAATTTTACAGTGAACCATTTAAAAAAAAAATGTTTCCCTAAATAGTTTATTGAATTTGTCTTTTTTTTGAATCTATTGTAACCAGAATACATGAAGTAGAATTTTGGATCAGTAACAGTGCTGACTTATTAAAAGAAGTGTGGTTCAGTTAGAGTAGATCTGAAGTTCAGAAGTGTGCAGATATTTTAAGCTGGCATCACTAAATCAAAGTTTTGTTTCATTTTTTCAAACAGGTTGAAGCAATGAAAACAGCACTTAACAGTCTTAGCCTGAATATTGTAGAGATGACAGATGACCAGGCAACCTTAGATGGAGGAGATGTTTTATTTACAGGTATAGTAAGGTTAAAAATCTTTTTAATATTTGAATTCTGCAGACAGATTGATTATAGCATATTCACTTACTATAATATGTGCAAATTGCCCTAACACAATATTAAATTAGTAAATTTGCTTTCCTATCATTGGTATTAGATTTTCAATATAGTAAATCTTTTTCTAAGGTAAAATTTGGTCTTGTTATGATAACAAGTGAAGGAGAACAGATATAATGTATTACTGGTATTATGTCATGTGTTACGTGTTATGTATTACGATAGATACAAAAAAATTTCCTCTGACATTGATCTTTGGTTCTCCTAGTCCATGCTGCTTTTAAGCTAAATGTATCTTTTCTGCTTTTAAGGTCGGGAATTTTTTGTGGGTCTTTCAAAACGGACCAACCATCGTGGTGCAGAAATTCTGGCAGATACCTTTAAGGTTAGCAGATTTACAAGTGTTCTTTCTGGGGATAGATATATAGGTATAAAGGCATGGGGATTTGTACAATTCCCCACTTGAGCCTGCCTCCTGACTGAGATGGTTGCTCTCCAATATCAGACCATCGTATGATTTATTTTAACCAACTGGGATTTATTAAATATATTCACACACATCATCATCATAAGCCATATACAATGGTATCAAAAATTGTCATTGGGTTCACATTAAACTAAAGCCAAACAATAATTAGGAATTATCGTGGAACACAATAATTAGGAATTACTGTGATGTGTGAACCAAGCCAGTATTCTATCTTGATTTATCAGCAGGATAAAAAATGAGCAATGTGCTACATGATGCTATAAGCTAGTATGGTTTTTAAATAAGATTCCATTACAGATTTAAGGTAAAAATACCCAGGAGCTATATGCTTGCTTTTTTAAAAAAATAAATGTAATAAATTATCATCCAAAGTTACCAAAGGTTTTCAGGATATTATCATACTAAACTTATTCTAACAATATAACTTACTGAATTTAGTTTATTTTCACTGGAAATTTGTAGGATGAACAGTGTCCAAAAAATGTTTTAACTTACAGAAAGTCAATAAGTTTGTTTTACAAATGATGCTGATTTCTAATTTTTCTGGTTCCTGTTCATAAGAATAGGTGCTTTTAATGCTTTCCAATATTGTGATATAGTTATTTTAGCTGATGTTAGTAAAATTCATATAAATTGTAAATGTACAGGGTTTTTTTCTTAGAATTGTTCATTTTTTATTTGTTTTCTGAAATAATGGTGACATACAAAAGATAATTGTTCAGTGAAATGTGCTGTGTTTGTAGAACTGAGTTTATTTAGCTCCAAAATATATGAAGATATTCAGACACTGAAAATACATGCCAGTTACCAACCACTCTCATTTTGATCATGTGATCATGAGGATGCTATGATTTGTCGTACAAGGACTGGTCTTAGGTCACTTTTTTTCAGTGCTGCTGTAACTTCACATGGTCACTAAATGAATGGTTGTAAGTCAAGGACTATCTATCTAATTTAGGTAATTTATAGAACGATTAATCTAAACAATTCTTTTGCAAACACCTCATTTATATGCAGGATTATGCTGTTTCTACAGTCCCTGTTGCTGACTCCTTGCATCTGAAAAGTTTTTGCAGCATGGCTGGACCAAACCTCATTGCTATTGGTTCAAGTGAAGTTGCACAGAAAGCCCTCAAGGTAAACATGATGGACATTGCCTGTGTGTTGTTTATATAGCAGTATTTTCTGTTTAAAAAAAACAGTCTTTATAGGCTTGCAAATATAAAAAATCTGGTCTCCACAAACTTGAAATATCACGCCAAATTCAGCCTGATATGGTTCAATGCATGTTTATATGAATAAGCAGGTTTCTAAAGTTATAAATAAAATCACAAAATATGGGGGAGGGGAAGCTGTTCATTATTAGAATAGCAGCAAGCATGGAGAATAAATCTAATCTCCCTGGTTGCAGTCATGGGGGGGGGGGGGGGGAAATCTAACATTACAGTTCTGCTTTGGGAGTGAAATCAATGGAATGCTGATTTATATATTTACTTACACAATGTATTAACTTGAATATTGCAAATTGGGTGAAGTACAATAAATAAATAAAAATAAACAAAATAAACAAGTTCAGTCTAATTCAAAGCATCAATAGGTGAACCAGAAAATTGCTTTCATATCACTCTATTCATATCTTTCCATTCAACCCAGGCCCAAAGTCCAAGAAAAAAGTCAGATTTTTACGCATTTCTGAAGGCTCCACAATAGAAAAGGCATATCTAATAGCTCTCATCAGAGGGCATTGTTTCAGAGGTGCACCCACCCTATTATGCTAGGTAATGCAACAGAAAAAGCAGGAGAAGAGAATAACATGGTTAGCTTCTCATTGCAACAAAATATTGTATATCCTATGTGTGGTTGCACTGGAGCAGAAATTAAGTATCGGAAGTGATAACTGAAATATTACGTTTTGTACTATAGATAGTTTTGTTTGATATACTTGTGCTGCAGAATCTGTGTTCATCTGCCTGTGCCCCACCTTCTGATGGTGTTAGGGATTAATGGAGATATATTCAGAACTCAGATGAACTATAAAATGTACCTTTAAGAGTTCAGAGAAAAGCAACAAGATGGTAAAGGGCATGATGGGTAAAACTTATGAAGAGCAGTGAAAGGAACTTGATATGATTAGCTCAAAGAAAAGAAGACCAAGGGGAGACAACATAACAGTTTTTTGACACATGTTATATGGAGATTTATTCTTGCTAAAATTAAGGGTAAGACAAAAATCAGTGAGTGGAATCTTTTAAGGTGAGAGATCCAAACCTGAACTAAGGAGGAATTTCCTGAATGTGAGAGCTATTAAGCAAGCAAGCAAACAAACAAACAGCTTGCCGCCTGAAATTGTGGGTGCTCCATCAGTGGAGATATTTGAGAAAAGACTAGATAGTCATTGGTCCAGAATTGTAGCAAGGGATAGACTGGAAGACGTCCAAGGTCCCTTCTATCTCTATTATTTTATAACAATGAAAGCATTGTGTATTGGTAACAACTGTTTTCAAGAAATTAGTCTACGGTCTGTTCTGGGTGGCACTGCACTCTGAAGGAACAGTTGTACAGGTTGGGTTACTCCTCGATTCTGCATTATGACTAGAATTTCGAATGATCTGTGTCATTAGGTTGTCAGCCTCAGTATTTCCTGGAAAAGTCTCTAAATTAGATTACCATAATGCATTTTTTCGCAAGACGTCTTTAAAATGGCTTTAAAAGTGTATCAAATGTAGGAAATTAGCTAGCCAAATCTAGTTTGCAGTCATGTTTTATCAGTTCTGAAAGATTTCATTGGTTGACAGTTTAGCTTAAAGTCCATTTCAAAGTATAATGCTTATTTCTAGGGCTCTAAATGGCTTGGAATTGAAATATTTGAAATAATGCACCCTCTAACACCAGCCTGCATTTATCTGTAGGCAAGATGAAAGTCTTCTCCATGTAATAGATAGAACAGAAGTAATATTTTCATTCACAAAAATGTAGAGGACTGTTCCCTGAAACAAAGTTCCAGCTTAAAATACTTTTCTAACGAAAACATACTTGGAATCAGCATTTCATTGTTTGTTAAGGGTATACAAATAAATATACAGCCCTATGGTGATGGTGATAATGACGGTTTTTGGATGAAAGTGCCATCCACAAAATGTGGAAACAAATTGTGTGGCAAGGAATAGTGCCTGAAGGTCTGAATAATGCCTCCTTTGACTGAAAGGAATTTAGACCCAAGAATGCAAAGATTGCGTTCAGATTTCACAAGAATAAGAACTAATATAGATGGCTCCATCTAGTGACTGACCAGTGTAGAGTATCCCATAGCTGTTTTTGAAAGAGTTTTTCAGCTTAGTTGAACAAATGCTCCTAAACAGAAAGGGCTGAATAAAGTTCTTATGAAAATTGTATTTTTCACAGATGCACACAAGCATTTGTTTTGCCTTTTCCTTCTGCTTATAGCCAATGAAATACTCCATAATACGTGTGTTTGTTCCTTGATGTGGTGCATGTAGTCCTCAACTTACGACCAGAATTGAGACCAAAATTTATTTATAGGTCGTAAATATGTTGCCAAGCGTCTGAATTTTGATCAGGTGACCATGGGGATGCTGCAATGGTTGTATGAAAAACCATCATAAGTCACTTTTTTCAGAGTTGTTGTAATTTTGAATGGTCACTAAAAAAAAAACCTGTTGTAAGCCGAGAACTACCTGTATTATAGAACAGTATTACTGTATAGCAATGCAGAGCTTTAAAATATGACTTATACCTGCAGTCTAAAGTTGAAATGTTCAGAATTTAACTTGAACTCCTGCACACAGGTTGGCTTTTATTTGGCAGTTTTGGAAGCTGTGGCCCCACCCACAGGCAGAGAGTGCTAGGTTGGAGAAACATGTAGAAGAATTCTTAAAATTCTTAGCTTCATTTAATATTCAGCTTTCATGATGCTATTTTTGCCCAGTTGTGAACTGAGACAATTGTGGATACTGTTTTTAGTTAAGGAAGAAAGATAGAATGGAGAGAAAAAGAATAAACATTTATTCAATGTCGATATACAGAGAGTATATAAAGAGATATTTTAATCCCAGATCAATGATTGTGCCCTGATTGCATGTGTATGGTAACTTGCATTCTTTTATCTGAATAGGTTGACTCAGCCTTCCATCCTTTCTAAGGTAGGTAAATTGAGGACCCAGTTTGTGGGGGCAATAAGCTGACTTTGTATAAAATATACAAAAGGATGAAGGCTATTGCTTAATGCATTGTAAGCCGCCCTGAGTCTCCGGAGAAGGGCGGCATATAAATCAAATTTTAAAAAAAATAGATCAGGAGTAAGAAATCTTTTTTTTTTTTAACTTCAGAAGAGCCTGCATTATAGTGGGACTAATTCTTTTCACACTGCTCTTTTTTGCAAACCAACCATCCTCACAGTCTCTAAAGTATCTAAACAGAGATGTCATGCTAGTCACTAGATCTCTTCACCAGGCTAATGTTTTACCTAACATGGTCACTCTATCCTGTGTTTTGATCCTAGAGTCATTTTTAGTAGTTTGTAGAGCCCTGCTGAAGCAATAGTTGAAATGATGCTAATGAACAAATCCCTTTTGCTGCAAGCTACCTGTCATTTCAAACACTTAGGGTTTTGTGTATTGCAATCTACATTGCCAATATGACTTAAGAACTACTATATATTTATTTGCCAGCAAATAAAATTAATATTTTCATGCCTCTTTGGTAGAATACTTTCTAACAGACATTTTCTAGTTCATCAGCTGCTATTATGAGAATTGAAACAGTGATACATTTTACACCTGAAATGCTTGGCTGGTGCAGATCATTAGGTTTTCCACTACTGGATTGTTCTTCTATATTACTTACTTACTCTCCATATTTTTGCCACCTCATCAAATATCTCTAGGCAGCATCGAACAAAATAAATACATAGAAAAATAAAGCTATTATAACAGAGAATAACACAGGGCATATTATTCCACAGGAGTTTTTCTTACCTCCTTTATAGACCTTTATGCAGGATTCAGCTAACATTATCTTCCATTTATCATCAGTCCTGTGTCTAGATATTTGGCACGAGAGATGAAGAAATAGAGACTTGTTAATGACCAAGAACAGTACTGAATACTGAGTTGTGATGGCCCAGTGGTTAGAATGCAATATTGCAGGCTAATTTTACCCACACCCAGGAGTTTGATCCTGACTAACTCAAGGTTGATTCATCCTTCCATCCTTCCGAGGTTGGTAAAATAAGGTCCCACATTGTTGGCAGCAATATGCCAATATTTGTAAACTGCTCAGAGAGTGCTGTAAAGCATTATGGAGCTATGTATAAGTCTATGTGCTATTGCTATTGCTTGACAAGATTTTTATTAGGGAGGTATATAAGATATTTATTTATTTATTATTTTATTTTATTTTGAATTTGTATACCGCCCTTCTCCCTGAGGACTCAGGGCGGTGAACAGCCAAATAAAAACATCAAGTACAAATATTAAAATACCCTTCTCCCTGAGGACTCAGGGCGGTGAACAGCCAAGTAAAAACATCAAGTACAAATATTAAAATACAATTAAATATATATATAAATTTGGCCCCATTAATTAAAAACGATAAACAAAACAATTAAAAACACTTTAAAAAATTAGGCCAGCCCGGCTTGCTGGAAAAGGAAAGTTTTAAGGGCACGGCAGAAGGCACTGAGGTCTTGGATTCTCCTTATCTCTGGGGGCAATTGATTCCAGAGGGTAGGTGCCCCCACAGAGAAGGCCCTCCCCCTGGGGGTCACCAGCCTGCACTGTTTGGCTGATGGCACCCCGAGGAGGCCCTCTCTGTGGGAGCGCACGGGTCGATGGGAGGTCGTCGGTGGCAGCAGGCGGTCTCGAAGATAGCTAGGCCCTATGCCATGGAGCGCTTTAAAGGTGATAACCAACACCTTGAAGCGCACCCGGAAGACCACCGGGAGCCAGTGCAGCTCATGCAGGAGCGGTGTTATATGGGAGCGCCATGCTGCTCCCATCACTACCCGCGCTGCTGCATTCTGGACCAGCTGGAGCCTCCGGGTGCTCTTCAAGGGGAGCCCCATGTAGAGAGCGTTGCAGTAGTCAAGGCGAGAGGTGACGAGGGCATGAGTGACTGTG